ATCATATAAGCACTTTAATCTTGCCATTTTATAGAAATTTCATCCGCGGGATCGGCACGCATGTATACACATGATTTCGGGACTTTCACTCTAGACACTCCGGCCAACTTAGTTTCAATGGAGTCCATCCCCTATCTCCTCCCAAAACATGGAGTACATCATATTTCTCCTCCTACAACATTATACATATACAATGTATTTAAATACCGTCATATTCAATGACTATCACTTATGCACATTCAATGCCTTAACACACTGGCATATTCAATGACATAATTAAATGATTAGTTTCAATTAACCTAATCCTCATGCAATTTCTACAACAATCATAGCTATCCTCCACCGATAGCCTAATACAGTTATTTCTAACAGATATACAGTCTTTATAATAGACAATTCATCAAATTTTCATAGGTGAGTGATTTAACAAATCCAACTCACCATTCATTCATACATCCTCCGAATTTCACATTTTCCATACCTATTCCATTATTTCTACCAAAATAATTATTTAACACATATTAGAGCAAATTTCCCCATTTTTCAAATATCAATCTAAAGGCTAAAATCCACCATTCTAACACAAGATAACCTCATATTCAAAACCCCATATTCATTTATAGAACACAACATAGAAATCTCTCTTTTCAATTTGAATCCAAACCCTAGGTTTACTCAAAATACCCCAAAATCTCACCATTTATTCATAACAACAAATAACTAGGTGAAAGATCATATTAAGGTGTAAAATATCCCTACCTCAAGTGTAGAAGACCAAAGGAGAAGTGGAGGAACTTAAAAATGTCCAAACTCAACTTTATTCGAATGTAATGGCAGCCCTTGAGGTGCTCCACTTTTTTCTCAAAAGGAGTAGGGTAGAGACCCTTAGATCCTAGGGGATTTGTAGAGAGAAGTTGGATTTTAGAGAAAGAATGAGTCGATTTAGTGTTTTTGAGTGAAAAGATAACAAAAAGGGAAGTAAAAATGAGCTGCTACGAACTGATATACGCGAGGCTCGCTCGAGCGAAGAAGTTGTCGCTCGAGCGACCAGGCACAATAAGTGACCTCGCTCTAGCGCAAGAAGCGTCGCTTGAGCGCAGAATACATACCTTCAGAAGTTTTACAAACGCACACCATCGCTCGAGCATAAGAAGCTTTGCTCAAGCGAAGAACATTACCCTTCCAGAATCTCTGCAGGCCTGCAAAAATGCTAGGAGCTCACAAAGCTCACTCGAGCAAAGAAGCAAATTTCTGGACAACAACAACTTGAACAACTAGCAACCAACCTATCCCGAACATGCCCAATATAGAGACCCTGGTTTTGACCCGTCTCTTGTGGTGTTCCGGACTCGAGTTTGTTTGGTTTGGAGGGTGGTTTATGTCTTGTTTCCCTTGTATCCCCTTAATGTTGGTTATTGGCTTGTAGTTGTGTGTTTGGAACAAGTTGGTTGCTTGTTTTTCCAAAACTTTGTTGCCCAGATTTTGGTCTCTTCGCTCGAGCGAGGCTTCTTGCGCTCGAGCGAGCTTTGTGTTGTGTGTCTCTTCGCTTGAGCGAGCACTCTTGCGCTTAAGCGTGCATCTGCGTCTCTATAAAATCTGAAGGTTGGTGTTCTTCGCTCGAGCGAGCTTTCCTTCGCTCGAGCGTGCTTCTGCGTTGCAGACCTGAAGCTTTGCATTGTTCGCTCGAGCGAGCATTCTTTCGCTCGAACGAGGTGACCTTTTTGTGTCTGGTCGCTCGAGCAAGCATTCCTCCGCTTGAGTGAGCCTGGTATACATCAATTCACAGTAGCGCCGGTTTGGCTTTTTTCACCCACAAACCCTAAATTTGTAGCTTTTCTCTCTAAAACTCACATTCTCTCTAAGGTTTCATCTAAATCCACTGTGTTCTTGACCCTGGTGTCTTTGAGAATAAGGTAGAGGGCTTCATGAGCTTCGTTTTGATCTAAGTCAAAGTGGGTTTTGTCATCTTTGAAGTTCCACCTTGTTGCTTGAGTTTTCTACACTTGAGGTAGGGATTTTCTACACTTTAATATCGTTTTTAGCTTAGTTATTTGCTATTGTGTATAGATAATGAGATTTGGTTGTAATTTGGACAAATCTAAGATTTTGGTGTTACATGAAAAGAGGGGTTTTTGATGTATAAGAGATAAATGAGCATGGGGTTTGAATATAAGTTCTTGGTGTATCAAAATAGTTGATTTTGGGTTTGGGTCAATATTGGAAAAAGGGGAACTTTTGCCCTAATTTGATAAAATGATTATTTGGTATAAATAATTGGAATTAACATTGAATATGTTAAATTAGATGGTTATTGATATAGACGGTGATATTGGATATGTATTATCTCACCTATAGAAGTTTTGAATAAACTATTTATTCCGAAATTGAACATTTCTTGGAAATAGTTGCATTGGGCTATCAGTAGATGATAGTTATGATTGTTGTAGAAATTGTATGAGGATTAGGCGACATAATGCTAATCTATTGTTAGTGTTATTGAATATGACCATGCTATAAATACATTGTATATGTATGTTTATTGGGAGGAGAAAGGAGATGTACTTCATAATTGATGATATCATAAATACATTGTATATGTATATTTATTGGGAGGAGAAAGGGGATGTACTTCATATATGATTATGTTTATAAATGCATTGCATATATATATTTGTTTGGGAAGGAGAAGGGGGATGGACTTCATTTGAAGCAAGTTGGCCTGAGTATCCTGGTGAAAGACCCGAAATCTCTTATATAAATGGGTGCCGGTTCCTTCGAACGAAATATCCGTAAAATGGCAAAGTTTGAAGTGTTTATGTATGTGTTTTACATAATTGGAAAACCATTGAGTTGTAGTCTCATTTTGGTTGTTAAAAGATAATGAATTTAACTTATGAATTGAGTAGTATATATGAACTGGAAATGAATTGAAGGAAAATGGAATAAGATTGCTCTTAGTGGCATATAGATATGCAGGCTTTGTGGATGCTTCCATATCAGTATTGTTTATATACGTGGAATTTATACCTTTGCTAAACTTCATAAATTGTGTTAGATTATTTCTATTGGGTTGTTGGCTCACCCTATAAGGGAATACCATTTTCAGGTGCAGATGAGATGTTTCCTCCAAGGTAATAGCGTGGATGGACTTTCAAGAAGCAAAAGCTTCTTAATTATGTTTTGTTGTGTATGTTGGTATTTGTAAAGACAATGGCTTAAGATGTAATGAGCGAGACTCAATTTCTGTAACCAAGCAATAACTTGGAAAGATGTAAGCCTATATGGCATTTAATTGTTTATTAAATAGTAAACTCTAATGTATGAAGTATGTTGTTTCTCATATTTATTCTGCATATAAGTTATCTTAATTGAATTATTTTGGGGGCGTTACACCCAAAACATTCCAATACTCGAATAGGAAGGGGAAAAGAGGGAAAAAGACATGAATAACAATATTAAACCACGTAATTTGAGTCCGGAATACAACAAATGTCGGGTCAAAACTGGAATCGCTATAATTTGACTGTTTCCCTTTTCTTTTTTCTTTTTTTTTTAACTACCAATTGTATAGAGCTCCATTTATAGCTATATACTTAGAGCTCTATATCACTGCTGAAAATAAAATTTTCTTACTTAAAGATCTATTATTTTAAAAAAATCTTCCTACACAAAAGCCCTTAACCGACATGAATTGGTTGAAATTAAATCATGTCAGAGCATCTTTAATCTTTTACTAATTTTTTTTATTAAATTTGATTATAAATTTGAGTAAAAAATTTAATTTGATATGAACTACTTCAATTTTAGCTCTCTATCACTGCCGAAAATAAAATTTTCTTACTTAAAGATCTATTATTTTTAAAAAATCTTCCTACACAAAAGCCCTTAACCGACATGAATTGGTTGAAATTAAATCATGTCAGAGCATCTTTAATCTTTTACTAATTTTTTTTATTAAATTTGATTATAAATTTGAGTAAAAAATTTAATTTGATATGAACTACTTCAATTTTTTATTCAAAGATTTTTATTTTTTTTCTCTTATTTTAAATTTTCATTTTTATCAAATTTGATGAAAAAATAAAATAAAATCTCAACGTTTCATCCTTGTAAATTTTCATCAAATTTAAAATTTGTTAAGTATTCAATTTGATGAAAACAAAAATAACTTCCTCTTGATTTGACCCTCCCTTGAAGTTGATTTTTGAACACCTTTTTGTCAAAATTTAACTTTTGATGAAATAATATATTAAGAATTAGAAATGCTCTCACTGGCCAATCTTTAAAGTAAAGCTATGTAGTTTTGATTACAAATATCAGTCACCCTATTTCATTGAGTTTTCAATTTATATTTTTCATATCTCCTATATGATTTTATTTTATTTTTTTTACAAAATTAATTTTTTGTTTTTTCAATGAAAAAAAAATTGAAAATCCAACCAAAAGGGGTGGTTGATAAAAAGGCAAGTTAGCTAATGACATGGATTAATTTTAGCCTATGGAAAAGGTAATATCATGCTACCGGTATGACCTTAAAAAGATTAAGTTCAAATCAATTATTTTTATGCATAATATTGTTTAGCAAATATTAGTTTTGTCAAATTTAATTTGTGGGGAAAATCTTTAATTTTTAATTTTTTCATACATCTCGTAATTTTAGTTTAAGATGAAATTTTTTAACATGACATGCTAACACCACACCAACCAAATACAAATCAAACATGACATAACATGATAACATAAAAAGTTAGGGACAAACTCAAAATTTAATGGCTCGACATTGAGCACAACCGATCATGAAAAGCTAAAGCTGTGCCAAAACTAAAAAGAAGAAGATAGGCAATTAGGGGTTGTTTGAAATGTTTTAAATAAGTATACTTTTTGACTTTTTACAAAAAAATGTGTAGAAAAGTAAAGAGGAGATGTTGATTGATGTGACCCAAAAAAGATAAAAAGATAAAAAGTATGGACTTATTTAGTCTTCCCAAACAAGGCCTTAATGTCTTTCTAGCTTTCCAATCAACCATCAGCTTGAAGTTAAAAGCCCAAGGGACAAATCAACAAATAAATTTCCTCTGAATTATAACACAAACACAAGGCTTATTTGACTCATTCTAAAGCACCTATCCAATTAATCAATTAAATTAGTTCCCAAAAAAAATATATATATATATATATATATATTAATCCATTAAATGAGGGAAAATTGATCACAGCAAAGTAATTGTTTTTTTTAAAAAAAAAGAAACTCTCTACATGGTTGCCAGAAGGTCTCTCATTTCAGCAACAGATGGAATAGTCTCTGTGGGGTATATTTTGGCAACAAGTTGTGCAAAGCTATCATACTTGTCCAAAAATTCCTTCTGTCAAAAAATAAAATAAAATGACAGCCTTTGTTAGATGTAAACAAGTAACCTCTAATTTGTTCTATTTTATTTCTACTTATAATGCATCACAAAATTATCCACCATGGAATCAAACCCAACAGCAAAATTATTCTCAACCTCACTACTAGATATATATTTTTTAAGGTAAAGAAAAGTGGTTAAAATTGATATAGAGCCACTCAGAAAGTAGCCTCCAAGGCATAGCTCAAGCTTCATAATTTTCCATTTTACTATTGAAAGTACCATCCAAAAAATAATAATATATTGGAATTTTATGTCATTTAAATAATGTTTCTGTTTGCTTAACCACATTTCACCAAAGGAAAAATGATTGATGTTCTTAAGACTAGTTCTCCTCTCTTCTTCTCTATTTTCAATAATCAAAATAAAAGAAATCTCTCCTACTGGAAACTCAACTCTCAAAAGAAACTTCATCCAATGAGATGATGAAACAGGATCAAGAAAATAAAAAACAAAAAGAAAAAAATATCATGGCAGTGCAAGAGAGGAGAGCTAATGTAATGCAAAATCAAAACTTAGGGTGCTACAAAATCACCAACATCAGATACATGATAGCATAACTACAATAATCATCAGTCTACAGATGTTTTTATTTATGCATACAATTTTAACTTTTCTCTTTCCCGATTATTTCTTGGTTTAGGTTCAACCTATTCCTTTTGGTGGTCTAATGCACACTCGGATTTATTGTAGGATTCCCCCCAAATTTCTGACTTCTTTCACTTTCTTCCATTTTTAGTTAGGTTCATCAATCATCACAGCAAAAGTAGATTAAAATATGAGACCACTTCAGATAGCTGTTTGTCATATGGTATGTTTCAACATCAAGCAAACCTTACAAGAGCGAGAACAAGAACTCAGAGAAAACCATACATACCTTGCATTTATCCCATAAAGATGGCAATAACTCCTCTGAGGTTAAGTTCTTTTGCAATTTCTTATACATTGCACTGATGGACTTGTCAACCTGTACAACACTAGTATTTGCATTACTGAAGCATCTTTGTAACTTAAGATGGGATATGCTATAGGGTATATAGTTACTTACTCCAGATAAACTAGATTTCACCACCTTCCGTAGATCCACTTTTGACAATCCAAGCTGGAATGGTATCTGAAATTTTTACAGGGAAAGAAAAACTCTATGGGCAATTAATCGTAATAAATAGAGATTGAATTAAAATCTGAAGGTGAGTACTGATAATGACATCATAGCAACAATAACCACAGTACTAATGCAATATCCAATATCCATAAAATTTATTATCCGGACATGCTAAATAAAATTCATTATCAAGACACACTCATACTTGAGACTTGGTTGTGAGAATCTCCGTTGCATGAAGCGGGGGTTGGAGAGGTGGCATATATAAGTTTCTAAAGTTTGGAAGCACATGTGGTAGCTTGTATATATTTTATATATACATATATGAATATATTCTAACAATCATTTTTATCTGCTTAGTTGTAATATATGTGTGAAAATATGAATTAATATTTGAAATTGATGTTAACTACAAAATGTCTTTGTTAAGTATATATAAATATTTGTGTAAATATAAAGTATTAGAATAAGTTTGAGTTGGGTTTCTTTTGTTTCTTTGAGGTTTGTATGTTTGAGAGGTTCTATCTCAGTTAAGATTAAGTTTCTTATAGGTTTCTTACTTGGGAGCGCGGATTCGTGTTTCTGAGTAAGAAATATCACCCAAGTAAGAGTTTCGTGCTTCCAAGGTTAGAATGCCTAGGAAAACAGGGAATTGCCCTTAGACAACTAGGTAATGGCCCTGCTGCGTTGCAAGTGCATTGTCTCTAGTGAAAATTATCAGAAAGCCAGTGTTAAATTTATCCTTGTCTTCTGAAAAAAAGATGTAAAGTTTTCAACTCTTTTCTTTTTTGATAAATAAAATTTATTGAAGAAAAAGCATCAAGGGGATGCTAAAGATTACAAAACAGGAAAACAAAAACAAAACTAGCCAATGACATCATCAAGGAAATCTAAAAAAGTAAACAAATCAGAATCCACACTCTCTGACACTCAACTGCACAGAACTTGCAAAAATCTATCTTCTAACCAAGAAACAGGATGAACAACTCCCTGGAAAACATGCCAATTCTGCTCCAACCAAAGCAACCACATTAAGCATAAAGGAGCCAAAGCCCAAGCCTTGCGACGCCGCTTCCCAACCCGACCCCCACCCCAACTCCAAAGCACCTCCATCACCCCTTTCTATTGCACCCACATCACTCCAAAAGTAGAGAAAACAAGCACCCCCAAACCAAAACATCATCTCTTCGCTCCTCTACGTGCACCCTATGAAGGAAGGTCAACAAATCCAACATATAATCCAACTCCCAATCTTGAACTTGCCGACGCAGCCCAAGATCCCAAACCACCCCATTCCCAATCCCAACCCCTCCCAAATAAGAAGCCACCATAGCATCTGGGTCAACAGCAAGACAAAAAATCATCGAAAACTGAAATTTCAGAGGCACCTCACCACACCATCAATCCCTCCAAAACCTCACCCAATATCCCAAATCCATCCGAAACTGGGTCTGCTCCCAAAACTCCCCCCTACCGAGCCAAATACCCTTCCACAACCCAAATCCATGAGACTCGCCCACTTTTCTCGGACTCTACTGCCCCCAACCCGTCCCATATTTCACAGCTATCACCCAATGCCACAAACGATCTCTCTCCCAAGCCAACCGCCACAACCACTTCCCTAACAAAGCGGAATTTACAAACCGCAACCTCCGTTCCCCCAAAGCCACCACCTCCTTTGGACAACAAAGCTCATTCCAGCTGATTAGATGATACCTAAACTCACCTTCACCACTACTCCATAGAAAGTCCCACCGCAACTTCTCCAACCAACAAGCCACAGATGTTGGAATAACATGCACCGACATGAAATAAGTTGGAATACTACCCAAAACACTCCTTAGCAAAGTCAATCTCCCACCCTTTGATAAATATTGCCTCTTCCACCACAACACCAGCGTTACACCCTTTCTAAAACACCATCCCACGCCACCTTAGCCTTAAAAGAAGCCCCCACAGGCAGCCCTAAATAAGACATAGGCAAAGTCGACACTCTGCAACCTAAAATAGCTGCCAAGGACTGAAGCTCATCCATTGCTCCAACCGAAATCAACTCCGATTTTGTAAGATTCACCTTTAGCCTAGACACTGCTTCAAAACATGACATAAGACATTGAAGATGACCCAATTGCTCCAGCTTTGCCCCACATAAAATCAAAGCATCATTTGCATACAAAAGACGAGAAACAAACAAGCAGATTAAACCCCACAGAACCAACCCAAAAACCTTCCACCAAACCACCACACACCGCCCTAGACACCAATCTACCAAACGCCTCCACCACCAAAATAAAAAGGAGCAGAGACAACGGATCACCCTTACGTAAACCACGGAAGGTCTGGAAAAAATCGGCCAGCACCCCATTAATAAGCACCGACATCCTCACCGTTGAGATACAGAAATACATCCACCTTCTCCATGTAAGCCCAAAACCCATAAGCTCCAGAACAGACATTAAGAAGCCCCAGCAAACATTATTATATACGTTCTCAATATTCAACTTGAAAATCACCCCTGGCCTTCCTTGTCGAAGACGGGAATCAACATACTCATTAACCACCAACACTGCATCCAAAATTTGCTGACCTCCCACAAGCATTCAGAGACTCAGACACCACAGAACTCAACACCATCCTAAGCTTGTTGGCCAGAACTTTAGCCAAAATCTTGTACACACTCCCCAATAAACTAATAGGCTTGAACTATCGGATATCCTCAGCCCTTACCACCTTTGGGATCAAAGCAAGAAAAGTCGTGTTAAAACTCTTCTCAAATTGGCCTGACTGATAAAACTACTCCATCGAAGCCATCACATCACCTTTCACTATATCCTAGCATTGTTGAAAAAAACCAATCAAAAAAAAAATCTGGACCAAGAACCTTATCACCACTCATCCCTCTCAAAGCTCCCAACACCTCCTCTTCAAAAAACGGCCTCTCTAACATAGATGCATCCACCTCAGGAAGCACACTAAACTCCAAATCCTCAACCCAAGGCCGCCACTGATCTCCTGGAGACCTGAATAAATTCTGATAGAAGCCCACAATCCCTACCCTCACCTTCTCCTTGGAAGACAACTCTACCCCATTCACCCTAACCTTCCTAATTTGATTCCCCCACCGATGAATTAGCCATTCCATGGAAAAATTTCGTATTATGATCTACCTTCTTTAGCAACAAACACCTGGATTTCTGCCAAAAACTAACCTCCTCCATTCTAGCAAGGGAAATTTAGTCAAAACCCATCCATTGGACCCTTGTTTGGTGAAAAGGACAGTCTAATTTATTTTGTTTCATAAACCAATAAGGAGGCGCATAATTGAGTAAGGACAAATTAAAATATCCTTTTTTTTTCTTGGACAATATTGCTACAGTAACATGTTACTGTGAGACAGAGTAACATATTACTGTCAAACAGAGTAACATGTTACTGTCTGCATCAATTTCGACAGTAATAATTTTTTTTTTTTTATTTATTTTCATAGTCAACATGGATCTTATTTAATATTCTAAAAATATTAATTTTATTAAAAATTGACATCTAGAGCAGAAGTTATATTATTTTAAAGTCTAATATTTTGGTAATAGTGGTATGTGTTGAACTTTTGAAGGAAAACTTTCTGTGCTTGTCCTTAATGCATTAAAGTTTTATTATGATAGGACTTTGACCAAATCCCCTTTCTAGCAATACGAGCATAAGCACTCCTGACCACTTTTTGCCAAGAAACATCCTCCGAAGACAAACCACCATTAGCCTCCATAGCATCCAAAACCTGCAACTGTGCTAACACCTCTACCTTTTGCCTCTCCAAAAGCCCAAACACCTCCTTATTCCAACCTTTTAGATATGCTTTCAATTTCTTCATCTTTTGAGCTAAACAACAACTAGGAGTGGACAATATTGCTACAGTAACATGTTACTGTGAGACAGAGTAACATATTACTGTCAAACAGAGTAACATGTTACTGTTTGCATCAATTTCAACAGTAATAAATTTTTTTTTTTATTTTTTTTTTCATAGTCAACATGGATCTTATTTAATATTCTAAAAATATTAATTTTATTAAAAATTGACATCTAGAGCAGAAGTTATATTATTTTAAAGTCTAATATTTTGGTAATAGTGGTATGTGTTGAACTTTTGAAGGAAAACTTTCTGTGCTTGTCCTTAATGCATTAAAGTTTTATTATGATAGGACTTTGACCAAATCCCCTTTCTAGCAATACGAGCATAAGCACTCCTGACCACTTTTTGCCAAGAAACATCCTCCGAAGACAAACCACCATTAGCCTCCATAGCATCCAAAACCTGCAACTGTGCTAACACCTCTACCTTTTGCCTCTCCAAAAGCCCAAACACCTCCTTATTCCAACCTTTTAGATATGCTTTCAATAACTTCAACTTTTGAGCTAAACAACAACTAGGAGTACTAGAAACCACATAACTCGACCACCAACCACGCACCTTGTCCATGAAATTATCAGATTGCAACCACATATTCTTAAAATGAAATGGCGTGGGACCACTCTAAATACCCCCACTATAAAGTAAGACAGGCCAATTATTAGACACTGGAGGATGAAGACGACATTGAGTCATTCCCAGAAAATGCTCCTCTTAAGCCCTCGACACCAAAAATTGATCAATACGAGATAAAGCCCAGCCCCCAAACCAAGTATAACTCCCACCTTGTATTGGCATGTTCACCAACTGCAACTCATCAATAAAAGAGCAAAACGCCTGTATAGCTCCCGAGATCCGACCACCACCAGATCTCTCAGTCGGCCACTACACCACATTAAAATCACCTCCCACACACCATGGAGCAATCCAACAAAACGTAACACTGTCCAACTCCTCCCAAAACAACCCCTTCTCCACCTCACGAATTGGTCGATACACCCCCATGAAAACCCATCGAAAATCGTTCTCCACACACTTGAACAAACAAGACACCGAATAAGCCCCTATCTCCTCCTCCTCCTCCTCCTTCTTCTCCTCCTCCTCTTTCACCACCACCTTGCTATCCCAACAAAGAACCCCTCCCACCGTGACCAAAGTCGGCAAGTAAGTCCACGCAACAAATCTCCCTCCCTCCTCCCTCTCCAAATATCTTTTATAATGCCCCCCTTCTACACTCCATTTTAGTCTATTGAAGACACACTACATCCCCCTTAGCACTACGCACTGCCGCCCTCACCACACCACGCTTCCCTACATCATTTAACCCCCGCACATTTCATGAAAAGATCTTCAACCGCATTTTAAAACTAGTTGTCTATCTCGCTTTCCTTGGGCTCCCCGCACACAGAACTCAACAACCTCCAATCATAAGTGACTGAACATTCCAGATTTCGCGATTCCCGACTAACTTTCTGAGACGGGGCAACCGGCTACCCCACCTCCGTCAAAGGAACACCACTTCGCCAAGATGCCTCTATTGCTGAAAACAAAGTAAAAGCCCTCATGACCTTCAAAAGACACGCCCAACAAACAGCTAACCTCGCTAATACGAGACAAAACCCACTCCGAAAACTTCTCGGTCGTTGGCACAGTATCCCCAAAGGCCATTCCCCAATTGTTCCCCCCTATCCCTACATTCACCATTGCCAAAGGCTGTAACATCAACAACACTCCCAACTCCTCCCAAACAACCTCCTCTGAGCCTGACGATGACCCCATATCAACAGAACCCTCACTCTGAACCTGAAACTTTTCCACACCCAACACCTTATCAATGCAATTCTCCCAACGATCAGGCACTACTGTCTCCCAACCACCTTTGACCCCTCCAACATCTACATCTTGCTATAACAAATCCGCACCAGTCCCCTGCGAAGGCATCGAAACAAGAGCACATGCCCTTTTAGCACCAGAACAAGATAACACTGAAGTACTTGGAAGCCGAGACTCCTAAACCTTAAGCGGCATTGTTAATGGCACTGAACTAGCATTGCAACGACCCAAATCAGGTATGACAGCATATTTGGCCTCATCCCAGCTCAAAACAAAACCATTAGACTGATTGAAAGTTTCGCGTGGTAGCCCAGTAGCCTTGGCGACATCCCGACCTAGAACAAGACCATCAGATTGACTCGAATTTCATCGCGGAGCATGTCGCAATTGAACCGCCACTTGCATTGGACCTCCTTTTGGTGCCTGAGCTGTCCACTCCCGATGAGCAACACCTGACTCAGCATTTGTGCTTCTCGAAAGACCCAACGAGTCTCTAAAAGACCCAAAGACCGTTTGACATATGGGTTTAAACCACGCCTAACTCCCCCACAAGCCTAGGTCTGATTAAACCTATGCTTTTGACCCAACAAATAAGGCCCATCCTGCTTACTAAAATGTTGTAATCGGCCCATTTGAAAAGGCCCACCAAACCTATTAACTCCACCATTGACAGAACTCCTTGGACCGAGCACCGATTGGCCCACTCTAGCATTAAGCCCAGACCTCAAATGAAGGCCAACTAGGCGACCTGCATTAGATCTTGTCCAACCCAACTTTTGCCATGGACCAACTTCATCCCCCATTCGCACGTCACCCTGCGAATAACGCAACGACCCTTCCGAAAAATTCTAACCATGATCACGAACCGAGATTGTCAAGAGATTTGTTGGCCTGCCAAGACAATTCTGAACCCCCGTCGACGTCAACCTCTGCCCCTCCGGTGACATAGCATCACAACCCTTCGGCTCTTGCCTAAAACTAATGGCTTGCGACGCACCTCCGTAACCTCCTATCTAATTCAACAGCAACCGTCAACAACGAACCCACCCACGTCTTGGATCGAAAACCTCCAGAACTAACGCAAGACCTTCCCAACCATCATCGGCCTCTGGAATGAAGATTTGACTACGCCAATCACCCATTGCCACAACTATCTGGACCACTTGACCTACAACTTCATCCCTCACCCAAACACCCATGCTTCTATGACCTCCCCACACTCACCCCAGGAAACCATCATGACGATCACATACATCAAACACTCGCAATTGAGACACCAACCACAATACCTCCGCACCACGCAAATCAACCTCCCACTGTAAACCTTGCCGTCGCTCCACTATTGACAACCAAACACGACCTATTGAATCCACCGCTTGTTTCTCAATCTCAAACGAGCATGGACCCAGAAACAACAACTATCTTCTCTAACCCCTCTCCGACACCATCAATGGATTGTCAACCATCATCCTTCAACATGTTTCTTGGCTGCCTAGCATTCCTTGCGAGAATGACTTCTTACCAACCACTATCAACCTCTTTTAGATATGTTCAGTTAGAGTCATCTAGTGTCTAACACACACACACACACACACACACAGTTTATCATGATAAACATAATCAACTCTTCAAACTTATTCTAAGCCTTCATAAGTGTCAATTATGTTTATCATGACCTGAAGATATGAATCGACAAACCATATATAAAGTTGCATGGTACAAAGACATATTTAAGGTCAAACCCAATATCACAAGACAATAGGCAGCCACATAAATGCAGACAAAAGTACATCATCAATGAAGAAACAAACACTATACTGGATATTGCACTTGTGATCATATTCATATTAGGACACACTTCACATGTGTTGATAAAACAATAAGCTCTAGATAAAATATGAAATTCATCACATAAGAGTGGAAATGATTGTCAAGGGATCAAAATGCATCACAGCCATGACAATTTTAGCAAGCACTTCATAATGGGACACACTTCACATGCGTTGATAAAACAATAATCTCCAGATAAAATATAAAGTTAGTAGTCACATAAAGGTGGACATGATTTCTCAGTGATCGAAATGCATCACAAACATAACATGTTCAATGGACTTCAAGGTGTAATCTTTCTAAATAAACCCTCAACTGACCACAGAAACATCAAATTTACAATTTGTACTCTTATAAATCTTATATCCAATCAAAATAGCTGTGAATTTCCAGTGAAGCGAACTTTAAGATCCAGAATTTTATGTGGTTAAAAGCAAGAAACGGTGCACATGTATTGTTCTGAAACACAAGCAAAAAGGGATGGGGTTGGAGTTTGACGTAGATTTAAGAGTACAGCAAGTCTGAGTTGCAAAAATATTCAGCACTCAAAACTAGTTCCTCTCAAATCAATGCTAATTCTATCAAAACTTCAAGAAGACAAGGTGTGGCACAACAATATCCTTGCTGAAGAGGCCAGAGAGATGCAGAGTAGCTGTCTAGCAGGACATGCATCCAGACTAGGAATAAGGAATTATATGCATCATTCCGAACACTAACCTCTTCTGGCGCAAGTGTGTACATGAAATCCTCAATTCTTCGAGCAAACTGGAAAAGTCGTTCAAATTGCTGCAACCAAATTCAATTAAAATGTGAAACATAAAAAACATACCATTGAAGGATACATTATTAAAAGAAAAACTTGCTAAACACAAAATAAAAACAGTAAACTTTAAAGGTGGATTACTTACATAATATATGATCATGCTGATATGACGTGTGCAAGCTAGTTCATAATTTTCACTTGCCTGGTGATAAAATTTTGCTAAAGTAGGCACAACATTGGCTAGGTCATACAGACTGCATGCAGCTGCTTCTAATTAGTATGTTGAAGGTGACAATGGTTAACAAACACATATGCTGCCCAAAAGAAAAACTGATATAAAGACCAATTTAGAAAATCCTCGAGGCTTTGATGCCCATCCAATGCCTTAGGAATAGGATTTCCGTTTGGGCTCATCATCTGATGCAGAAGAACTGACGCGAGAGGGAGAATAAATATGTATACACTATACATGTTCATGAATACCTATTACGGCATGCTGCACAGTTCTCTAAAAGCAATATATACATATTCATGAATACCTATTCTGGAATGCAGCATAATTCTCTAAAAGCAAAATATCAGCATATTTTGGGTCCTGTGCTGCAATTTTCTCCAAAGTCACAAACATTATAGTAACCTGTCAAACAAATGTTCCAATAATTTAAGCAATCTGACAAACACATAAAACGGTTAAACAAAACTGGATAGAGAAGAAAAGAAACTCCATAGAAAACTCAAAATATCTTTCTTCACAGCCGGCAGTAAACTTGAATGGTATCTGCTACTTGCGGGGGTATTTGTGTGGGTAGATGTTACATATCCCAACCAAAATACAAACAAAAAAGGAGCTTAATGTGATACCTCACTACTCACACCATATTAAAAGTAAAATATAAAACGTTTACATCTCTATCTATTAATCCTATGGTTTGATTTTGATGATATCTAAAATATTATGGGATACATATTTTACAACCATTTGACACAAAATATGAAAATGTATTTTATCATTTTGATAGATGTTGCACCGATTTAAAATTAACTGAATTTATTGTGCAATCAAATATAATATAATATAAAAGAAAAGAGAGACACACCCAAACATGTGTTGTCTCATGCAAAACCTTTCCATTTCTATTCTTATTCATTTCTTTTTCTTTGTTGATTTGAGCAGTATTCTTGGACAATTCAAATGGAAGAAAAATATGGAAGGAAAGAGGAAACCTCAAACGGTCACATTTATAAAGGAAACACTTTTGAGAAAAAGAAATGCAAGAGACAAGTGGTGAACATTTTGTGATATTCAAGAGTTCAAAATATTGTGTGGTGTTCTTTCATTGAGTTATAATTTCTTTTGAGAGAAAATTTATTGATAATTTGAGCTTTTATTGTAAAAGGATTTTCTATCTCTTATTCTTTTTCTCGTAAAAAAAAGTTATATTTTTGTGAGTGGTTTTTAGGATAAAATCACTTGGGTTAGGTGTGACTAGCACCTAATTCACAAATATTGGTTGGAGTGATTAGGGTTGATCAATTGTTAAGGTTCACTAGCACCTATGAAGCTAAGGGTGTAACTACTATTTGACGAATACTGAAGAAATCTTGAGGAGGATCTTGAGGAGTGGACGTAGGTTTGGTTTGAGCGGAATCACTACAAATTCTATGTTTACTCTTTCTTCCCTTTCGTTCAATTTATTTTTTATTATATCTATCTATAGTGCTTCATATTTTTATTTATTTATTGTTAGGATCAAACACTTACCATCTTATCAAAACCCATAGATAGTGATGAAGCAGTAACTTTATTTCCTTATATGCTTGGCATCACAAAGCCCGGCACTAAGTGGTAGGTGGGCATGAGGGGCTGCACCATAAGCGCCACCAGGATGGGCTGTCAAGCACCAATGCCACGCCCATACGTGATAGCAAGTCCATTAGGTGATCGCTGACCCCATAACCAACACTATCCAAACCAAGGTCCCTATTGATGTAAATTTTCTGACTGGGCAGCAGTAAAAGATATAGCCCCATGCTGCATCCCATACTAATTAATCCCTCGTAAGGTAAGGATCAAAAATAGCCATTTCCAGCCTGAGGTCCTTCCTCTTGACGTAAATTTTCCGGAATGGGATCTGTAAAAGATATAGCCCCATGCTGTATCCCATCCTAGTTAAGCATCATCATTTGTCATTTCCTTTAAATAACCCAAAATATTCCAAATTTATTTATTTATTTATTTCAGTGGATAGTTAGTTATTATTCAGAAACTGAGTGGAAGCTCCTGGTTAAAATGGTTTATGCTACATAGAGGGCTCATTAATATACTTCAGGGAAAATTTTCTAAGGAAGCATCACTAGATGAAGTACGTTAAAAAATGGAAGAATACAAATTGAAACAGGCATCACAGCACAAGGCCTGTTTTTGAAAAGGGTTTTTTATTCTGAAATTTTACTTCTAAGTAGATTCTGTGGCTTCTACTAGAAGGGTACAGTGCCCAATTTAAGCACAATCCAATATAAACCTTTCAGGAGATGAAAGAAAAAAGGGTGACCCAATGCACAAGATTAGCACTAAAGCAGGGCCTGGAGATGAATTACAACTTTTAATCTATGGTCAAGTAATCATTCCACAAGTCTGAGGAAAGTATGCGGCTGTAGTCAGTTGCATATCGTTCTTGTGAAAGCCTTCAAGAGACGAAATAAAAAAAGATGACCCAGGGCACAAGACTCTTGTTAAAGCAGGGTCTGGAGATGAAATACAACTTTTAATCTGTGGTCAAGTATATTATCATTTCGCAAGCCTGAGCAACTGCAGTCAGTAGCACATCAAAATGTAATCAGATTTTTTAGGTACCAAGTCCAAAATAATACAAGGATAAGAATAATTAAATTGAACTCTGTCAAGCTTTCTCCAAACTTTGGTTTAAATGGTTAATGCTACCTAGAGGGCTCAAGCATCACTGGATGAAGTATTTTATAGAATGAAAGAATTGCAATTTAAAACATGCACCACAGCACAAGGCCAGTTTTCAAATAGGCTTTTATTGAAATACTTCCAAGTATATTATGTTGTTTCTACTAAACGGGTGCAGTGCCCAATGTAAGCACCATGCAATATAAATGTACGTGTTTAATGAGTGCACAAAAAGGGTGAACCAGTGCAGAAGGTCCCCTGCTACAGTCGGCCTGGAAATGAAATACAACTTTTAATCTAGGGAAATTCTATACGCACACCACAAGAAATCTCAACACACACTATTTGTATCGTTTGGATATGAATTTCCGAATAGAACTCAAATGTTCAGACATAAACTTATTGTTAAGTGTTTGAGGTTACAGGTATTTGTGTACTTTAGACTATTCTAATATAAATAAGAGTGTTTATGAGAGTTAACCCAAATCAATTCTTTTTGGGTCTCTCTCTCAACATGGTATATTGTTCATCGTCATCTCTCATTCTTCTCTCAATTATATCTTGTAACTTGGTATCAGAGCAACACTCTATTATCATACACAAGTTTTAACCTCCAGTTCTTCGTTTTTCTTTTTCTTTTTTGTTTATCGATATGTTTAAAAAAAATAAAATAAAATAAAATAAATTCATCGATAGGCTCATTTAATGAGGGGATTACACTGATAATTTTTCCCAAATTTTTTTAGTTCATCTTCTATTTTTTTCCTATTTTTCTTTATTTTTCAAGTAAATAGTCCAGTTTTTTACGATATACAATTTGGGACTGTTTTTGATTGAACCAATGCTTGGAACTTCTCCTATGGGTGCCGACTAGAGGTTCTACATGCTGCCCAGGCTTGTTTTTTGCATTTTGATGAGTTTCTTGGCACCACAAGGGCTCGACAGTGCTATTTTCATATAGCCAGCACTTCGTTTTTCCTGTTTTTGATCTGGTCTGAGACTATTGGTGTGATTTATGACCTGATAAGCAATCTTCTGGTGTTTTTATCTGCTTGTGTGTGAACTTCTTGAGGTTTGTGGGATTATTGAGTGCTTGAATCAATTTGGTGATCGTGGCAGACGGTAATAAGGCTTCCCCTGGTAGTGAAGAGAGCGGGTTGAACTCTATCGGGACTCCTAGTGATAGTCTATCTCGTCGCTTGACTGGTTATATTAATGGGACTCTTAAAGATCCTGTTACGGATGGGCCAGCACGCAAAAGTGGCTTTCTGAGAATGCCTTAATCATGACCTGGCTTATTAATTCTATGCAACCTACTATCAGTCGTACCTTCTTGTTGATGGATACTGCACATAAAATTTGGACATCAGCAACTTGGACATTTTCTCAAAAAGGCAATGATGAACAAGCATATGAACTGAGGAAGAAAATTCGTGGGTTGGATCAGAAGGATGATCTTTGGCACTATACTGCTTGATTATTATCAGAATTTTCAAGCTGTTTGTTCTAAGGATGCTAGCAAGTTTCAATAGATGGTGGAGAAAGACCGGGTTTATGATTTTCTCGCCAGCCGTAATTTGAAGCATGGTCAAATTCGTGTTCAAGTGCTGGGTCGAGAGCCTTCTCCTACTTTGAGAGAGGCTTATGCCATTGTTCAGCAAGAGGAGAGTCAACGTCATGCTATGGTGCATTCAGTTGGTCAGGATCACTCTGCTTTGGCTGTTGTTCGTACCATACTTGACAGTAAACCAATCCAGCCTAAGTTTGGCAGTAAAGGTAGCTCTATTGATCAAGATTTGCTGAAATGTGATTATTGTAGGAAAGAGCAACATGACAAAGAGCATTGTTGGAAGCTGAATGGTCGCCCTACTCGGAGGCGTCGTGGTGGTCGTGTTGGTACTGTTTGTTCTCAATTGCACGTGTCTAAGACTGCGAGTGGTCCTTCTAGTGATTCTAGAGCTCTTTCTCAAGATGAGGTGTTAGCTCTCAGGCATTTGGTTGCTCGGCTTGATACCTCCACTCCCCTAGCTTCTTCCTCTACATCTTCTTCTCACTTTGCTTCTATTGGTACTCTTTGCTAGTGCGCTTAGTGCCACTTCTTTTCCTTTGATTATCGATTTTGGAGCTACTGATCGTATGACAGGTTCTTCTACCCCTTTTTCTTCTTACATCCCTTGTTCTAGTAAGGATAAGGTTCTAGTTGCTGATGGTTCTTTATCTTCAATCTCTGGCAAGGGTTCAATCCATTGCTTTTCCTCCCTTTCTTTATCCTCTGTTCTTCGTGTTCCCAATTTTTCTACTAATTTACTCTTTGTTAGCAGAATTACTAATGTTTTAACTGCCCTGTAACCTTTTTTCCTACCCATTGTGTTTTTCAGGAACTAGGCACGAGGAGAACGATTGGCAGTGGCAAAGCACCTGGTGGTCTGTATTTTTTAGATAATGCACCAACACTTTCTTCGCCTTTTTTCCTTTGATTGGGCTCTTCAAGCTACTAGTGGTTCTCCTTTACATGCCTTACATTAGTGGCATCATCGCTTGGGACACCCCTCTTTTAATATTTTAGAGAAGCTTTTTCCTTAATTAGTGAAAAATTGTCCTAGGAATAACTTTATTTGTGATGCTCGTGAACTTGCCAAGCATAAAAGAGCTTGTTATTCTTTAATTAATAAAAGAAGCCTTGTTCCTTTTATGTTTATTCATACTAATGTGTGGGGTCCTTCTCCTATCATTTCTCTTTTTGGATATCGATGGTTTGTTACTTTTATTAATTGCTACTCTTGTATTACCTAGGTTTTACCCTCTTTCATAAGATGGTGACTACTCAATTTGATGCAAAGAATAAAATTTTGCGTAGTGACAGTGGCACTGAATTCATTGATGAGGAGTTTCAGGCATATCTTGCAGAGCATGGTATTTTCTACCAAACTAGTTATGTCAACACTCCCGAGCAAACTGGGGTTTCTGAAAGGAAAAGCTGCCATCTCCTTGAGGTTGCTCGCTCTCTCCAGTTTACCATGAATGTTCCTAAGTCCTTTTGGGGTGATGTCGTTCTTATGGCTTGTTATCTGATCAATTAGATGTCGTCTAGTGTCCTTCAGTTCAAAATTCCCCTTGAGCTTCTTCCCTTGGCTTCGTCTACTTCCTCTATTCCTCCCAAGATATTTGGGTGTGTGTGCTTTGTTCGTGTTCACAAACACAATCGTGGGAAGCTTGAACCTAAGGCTGTGAAGTGTGTCTTCATTGGGTATTCTCTATCTCAAAAGGGCTATAAGTGCTATGATCCTCAGTCTCGTAAGGTGTATGTTAGTATGGATGTCACCTTTCATGAATCTGAGTCATTTTTTGTTTCCTCTCCATCATCTCTTCAGGGGGAGAATAACATAGAGGAAGGGATGACTTCTCAACTTCAACAGGAGCAGTTATCCTTCTTCCATCTTACCTACAGGGCTATCATTTACGATGAGGGGGAGGAGGAAGTGACATGTGTTGACGTTGATGGACAGTTGGATAGGATGGATCTCAAGACTTATTTGCGGCGTTCAAAAGAACAGACCTCTAATGTGCTACCAGGCCAACTGTCATCCCCACTGCCAGATCCAGATCCTCCTACTCAACTTTCAGGTAATGGATCTCCTATTAATACTTCTGTTAGAGAACCTCATGATGATAGTAACTCTAATCTTCCTATTGCTCTTCGAAAGGGGGTTATGACTTGTACTCAACATCCAATATCTAAATTATCTATCTTCTTCATATCTTGCCTTTGTTTCATCTCTATCTTCTGTTGTATTCCACAGGGTTGGAAGGAAGCAATCAATGATCCTAAGTGGACAAAGGGTATGACAAAGGAGATGAAAGCTTTGAGCAAAAATGATACTTGGGAGTTAGTTCCCCTTCCTGACAAAAAGAGACCATTAGGCTGTAAATGGGTATTTACCATTAAGCAAAAAGTAGACGGGACGATTGAGAGATACAAGGCCAAGCTTGTATGGTATTGACTATCAAGAGACCTTTGCTCCTGTAGCAAAGATGAATTTTATTTGTACCCTTCTTTCCTGTGCTGCTAATCTAGGATGGCTATTACAACAACTAGATGCAAAAAATGCATTTCTCCATGGTGACTTAGTGGAAGAAGTATATATGGATGTTCCATCAGGATTCTCATCTCTGTCCACTATTGGAAAGGTTTGCAGGTTGAAAAAGGCTCTTTATGGGTTGAAACAGTCTCCTAGAGCCTGGCTTGATAGATTTCTATCATGCTGATGTTTGGGTATAAGTAGAGCAATGTAGATCACACTATGTTTGTTAAACGAGACAAGGATAAGATTAGTGTTCTTATAGTTTATGTGGATAACATAGTGGTAACTGGCAATGACATGATGGAGTTGACTCAACTCAAGGCGAGATTGGCTAAAGAATTTGAGATAAAGAGCTTGGTTTGAGATACTTTCTTAGGATTGAAGTTGCCAGATCAAACAAGGGCATCTTCATTGCTTAAAGGAAGTACATTCTTAGTGAGATAGGTTTGTTGGGTTGTAGACCGATAGATTCTCGAATTGAAGCTAATCATCATCTTAGCAGTGTTGTAGGTGATCCTATAGATGAGGAAAGATACTAGAGACTCGTGGGGCGACTCATATATTTATCTCACACTAGACCGGACATTGCATATATAGTTGGAGTTGCTAGTCAGTTTATGCATGATCCTCATTCGATGCATCTAGATGCAGTACATCGAATTTTGAGGAACCTTAAGTCAACTCCAAATTTTTTTTTCTCTAATCATGGTCACTTGAGATTGGAAGCGTTCACTGATGCAGATTGGGCAGGCTTAGTTGATGACTAGCGGTCTACTTTAGGCTATTGTACCTTTGTGAGAAGAAATTTGGTTACTTGGTGTAGCAAGAAGTAGACAGTTGTGGCTAGATCCAACGCACAGGCAGAATACAGAGCTATGACTCATGGTACTTGTGAGCTTATGTGGATCCAAAGGTTACTAGGGAACCTAGAAATGTGTGGTAGTTAGCTCATGAAGTTGTATTGTGACAATAAAGCTGCCATTAATATTGCCCATAATCTAGTTCAACATAATAGGGCCAAGCATATAGAGATTGACAAACACTTCATCAAAGAGAAGCTGAATAAAGGATTGATTTGTATGCCTTTTGTGAAATTAGAAGATCAGTTGGCTAATATTTTCACTAAAGGTCTTAGTAGTAAGATTTTTCACCCCATTGTTTGCAAGTTAGGCATGAGAGATATATTTACACCAACTTGAGAGGGAGTGGTGAGTGTTTGAGGTTAGGGGTATTTGTGTAAATCAGGGTGTTTATGAGACTTAACCCAAATCAATTCCTTTTGGGTCTTACTCTCAACATCATATATTGTTCTTAATCTTCATCTCATTCTTTTCTCAATTATATCCTCTAACTCTTATAAACAAAAATGAATTGTTTAGATATACATGCCATTCAACCATTTATATCTGAACAACTACTCTTTTTTTTTTTTCATAAGTTTGTCTGAACACTTGATTTCTGTGTTTGGAAGTTCATATTCGAATGACATAAGTGGTATGTACTGAGATTTTCTTTTGTGCAAATAGAATTACCCATTAATCTATGGTGAAGTACACTATCATTTCACAAGTTTGAGGGATGTATACCACTGTAATCAGTTGTATGTCGTTCTTGCGAATATTGTTGTCAAAATTGTATGATATACACTACATATCGTATTGTATGAAAAAACATGCATATCGTGGACTCGTTTTGTTGTGACTTGCATCGTGAGATGCATTTCTGTATGTACAATTTCATATTATAGTGTTTCAATGCATATCACATGTTTAGTTAATTTTGCCTTATTCTTCACATTTGGCCCTCTTAACAACCTTTTTCACTATCAACACCATCATGGACACTCGTAGAACAATAAGGAACCATATATTGGGAAAATTCCATACTAAGGAGACCTAAATCCAAACAAGTTGAAAAGAAAAATGGCTCCCATGTTTCCGTTGACACAAGAAATTGAACTACTACGGATCTAATTCGGGTGAAAGAGACAAAGAGTTTACACACACAGACTGTTTGATTTGAGTTTGGACGCGAGATTTAAGCCAAAAGACTTGTTTTGACCATGACAATAAACCACATAACAAGGACAAATGTCTTTGGATGGAAATCATGAGCCATATGGACTCGCGATCAAATCAACTAGGCGTGATTGGGAGAAAAAATATACATAAAACTTTTGCCTTGATTTTTATACATGTAATGAAAGATTATTTGATCTTTTGTTAATAAATTTTCAATTTTCTTCCTAATTTCTTACGAGTATGCTTGGGGTTTTTAATGAATGTAGATTTACTTCTTTGACCAATTTGTAAGTTTCTTAGAGATGATTTTTCATGTCATTGGTTATAAAATTTCATAATTTATTCATGCAATATATTTATACTTAACTACTTAAAAAAAAAGTTGTCTATATTCATATATGTTAATCTATCTTAAGATACACGATACGGTATGCAATACATAAAAGTGATACATGATACATATCACGATTCAACAACACAGCTTGCAAAAGCTTTTAGAAGATAAAATAATAATAATATTAATAAATAAAAAAAAAGACACGACCCACTGCACAACGCTCTCACTAAAGTGGGGGCTGTAGCTAAAATATAACTTGTAATGTGGTCAAGCTTTCTCTAAACTTCTTGCACTGTGACTCTGTACTTGGGCTTGAGTTGGAATGTTACAAAAATAATTATAAACAATAATTTCATGTTAGTAGGTGAGAGTACTCACAAATTTAGTGTATGCTTGATCAACCAAATCCCTTGATTGTCCCTGGATGTACTGCTCCATGCGGGTCGCAAGAATTGAAAATCTATGCAGGTGATAGAAACCTTATTTGGAATGATGTATAACCAAGATTGAAATTACTAATTATAGAACAATAAACTAACAAATAACATTGAAGCAACATGCGAAGGAGATAAGTGTCTTGTTTGGTATGAGACAAGAAGAGAAGATAAGAGTTTTCTTCTATTTTCTCTTGTTGGCTTAATAGAGGACAAAAATGACCCATTTCGGCATTCAAAGTAGGGGTGTAACTTGGATGGGTTGAATCTAAGCAACCTAAGCTCAACCTCAAAATTTTTTGAGCCTTGGGCAGCATAATCCCGATTTGTATTATTACTGTTGTTTGCATTTAATCAATAAAATCTTTTATGTATTTTGGGTGCCAAAAATCCGAGGACATAAGGAAAAAAATAATAGCCCGCAAAAATTAACCAGCCCAAAAGAAAGGGTGAACCACCTAGTACAGTAATTTGTGGGCAACACAAGCCTAACCCAAGCTAAATATTGAGCTCGGGTTAAGGACTTTGAGCTGAGAGGTTGGGCCAGGACAAGTCTCAATGCAATCTGTGTTGAGCCTCAATAGGCCATCAGCTTGACCAAGCCTGCCCAAGTAGGACCCGTAATTCAAAGTCAATGATTCTTTAGATTCTAAAGGAATTGAATGAAATGTTTTTAAACTTTCATTTTTCCCACAAAAACTCTTGCTCAAATATAAAAGAGATTTGAACAAAGTTTTAAAAAGAAGTTGGGCACAAGCACAACAAATCACATACAAGATATACAACTACCTAGAATAAGATTTAAAATAATCCTCTTCCCTTCTCTTTCTCTCTCACCAAACATAGCCTAAAACTAAGGATGGTTTGCAACTGAAATTTGTGACATTAAAACCAAAATACTGTTTCTGCATAAATTTAAACTGTGAAAACATAAAGCCAAAGTTGCACATGCATAAATGATCAATGTACTCCAATAAATCAAAAAATAAGAAGCATGTATAATGTTAAGAAGTCTTAGACAGTCCAAACTTCCAGCAACAACCCCTTCAAAGTTTGCTGATAAAAAAATTCAGCAACAATTGAGTATGAGATAGAATAGCTTGAATTGAAGAAAACTATACTTTTAACCATCACTAGGAAGAACTACAAGAAGGAAGCATGGCAAGAAACACATCTTTAGTCTTCCATGTTGCTACTGAATTAATCTAATTTTCCCAACAAAAATATTACCAACATGTCAAGAACCACCATAAAATGCTTTCTTCATCTGAAAACCAGCTCAAGCCACAGATTGATGCAGAAAGGACACACACAGATTTTGGGTGGAGATTTTATTTATAATTTTATAAATTATGATATTTATACTAATTTATTTATAAGTTAATTAGGAATATTATTAATATTTAGTGTTCTATTTTATTAGGGATTTAGTTTACTTTTTCTATTAGCGTATACTTCCCAATAATATTAGTAAGTTTCCTATTTTGAATTAGGGTCTAAACCCCATAAATATTAGGTATTTCCATTGTAATAGTTAACTTTGAATAATTGATATTGAGTTAAGGTTGTGGCCATTTTTGTGTGTTAGGGTTGTAACCCTTATTCGCCTTCTTTCTCTATTCCTATTATTCTCCATATTTTTTATCTTCTCTTTTGCATCAATTCTCCATTTATTCTGGTTTTGTGATCAATTAAATTGTTGAATGGATTTCTTAATAATCATTCTGCATCACAAATGTACTTGCAACACCGCATTTAATTTGTTGAACTAACAGGTATTTCCAATATTCAACAAACCACATTTCTCAATAACATTAAATTCACACTCCTTAGCAAATATTGCTAATCAAACACAGTTTAATGATTCCATGTCAGGTTGCAATGTTGCATGGGTAGCCTTTCTTCAATTAAATGAATAAATAAACATTGGCTACAATGTTAGAACAATTAACAAACTTATAAAATAACCATTATAATAAAACTACCGTCATGTGATCTGGGGTCCACAACAGAAGATTTTCATGTAACACATTTCTCCCAATTCCTTTGTCTCAAAAAGAGGTGAGCCCCAACCATCCATCAAAAATATTGTTATGTGTTTGAGGGTAATATTGTCGTTGTACCCATTCCCTTATTAGTATAAATACATGTGTTTAGTGAGGTAAGAAACCTAGTTAGGTTTTCAGCCTCCTATTCCAGCAAATCTCTTCTCTTTAAACTCTTATGCTTCAATTTTAACTTGGTATCGGAGCAAAGAACTTGATTTATACTCTATTCTTTTATTTTTTCTCTTTCTCTTTTCTCCCTTCTATTCGTTTGTTCTTTGTTTTTTCTTTTTTAATCAACAACAAAGGACTTTATTGATAAATCAAAAAAGTAAACGAGGATGAGGCATCCTCTTACAAAGGAAAAGGAGAAAACACAAAGCAAAACCCTAACAAGATACTCTTAAGCAAAAGCCTACATATCACACACCGCCAACCAATCTCTAGCTAACAAAAAAAGTGGGACCCCCTTAAATAGAGGATTTCCCCAAACCCAAAAAGAAGTTAAGTGGCAAACACTATTCCACAAACAATCCACCTCACGGAACTTATCTTCAAACACCCGCGCAATTCTTTCCATCCGTAGAACCCAAAAAGTTGCAAAGACCGCACAAGACTAAAGCATTTTGGCTCTCTTCGATCCTCCGAAAGTGCGAAAGTCAACTTTGAGCATATGCGCAGTCCCTTTTGGGGCTACCCACATAACATTCCCCAACAAAAACAATTTGTACCATAAATTCAACGTAATTGGGCAATGTAGAAATAAATGATCCATGGATTCCCCATTCTTACAACACAGAATGCACCACTAAGGATTTAGAAAGCGATTAGGTCTCCGTTTTTGCAATGTATCATTTGTCAAAATGCCTTCATGAACCAAGGCCCACATGAACACCTTCACCTTTAGAGGAACACAAGCCTTCCAAATTCTTTTGCGAAAAGGAAACTAAGGAACATAAGGAGTATCGATGATTTTGTCGAAACTAGACTTACAAGAAAATATTCCAGCTGAATGAAGAGCCCAAACCCTTTCATCCTCCAAAAGAAGAGCCAAAGAAAAATTATCAATTTTGGACAACAAAGACGTCAACTGTGAAGCCTCCCCATTATTAAGATTCCTAGAAAAATCAAAATTCCAAGAAATTGGAGCCAAAAATGAACAGGCCATGGAAGCGATAGAAGAATTATGAGATCAAGCCACTCTATAGAGATGTGGAAAATCAGAAGCGAAAGAAGATTGACCCATCCAAACATCCTTCCCAAAACGAACAAGTTCCCTATTGCCCACCCTTACAGAAAGATGACGAGACCAACATGTGTAGATATGAGAAATTGATTTCCAAGGAGCACAACAGTTACCCCTCAGAACCACCCTTGAATCCCTACCATTGTCTTGAATCCCATACTTGCTTCTAATAACCGAATGCTATAGTGAATCACTTTCAAGTGGAAATCTCCATAACCATTTGCCAAGAAGGGCCATGTTCCTAGCCAAAATATTACCAATGGCCAAACCGCTCCTTGTCCTTAGGCAACAAAACTAAATCCCAATTCACCAGGTGTAGACACCCCATTTTTAACCGACCTCAAGACTTGGACGTCATTGTTTGTGCACTCGATGATTGTGCTTGTTTTGAGCACCCGAAGTTCTCGGCGGAACGCCTTGTCTTTAAGCCTCTAAACCCATTTTGTTTTGTGCTTGTTTTTAGGCCAAACCTTGTTGCCTCTTGTCTGGAAGGGGGAGGGGCCTTGTCGGCCACCTTTTGTTCTTGTCGACCACTTGAAGTGGCTGCAAAATATATACACAACAATCTTGTAATCAATTTGAGCACCTGAAGTTCTCGGCGGAACGCCTTGTCTTTAAGCCTCTAAACCCATTTTGTTTTGTGCTTGTTTTTAGGCCAAACCTTGTTGCCTCTTGTCTGGAAGGGGGAGGGGCCTTGTCGGCCACCTTTTGTTCTTGTCGACCACTTGAAGTGGCTGGTCGGCTACTTAGAGTGGCTGACGGCCACTTAAAGTGGCCGACGGCCATTTGTCTCTTTTTTCAGATATTTGTTTGCCAGCTCTGCCAGCTGTTGCTCACCGAAGGCCATCTCCATACACATGTATAGAGGGATGAATACAAGCTCTAAGCTTGATTTTCTATATATAGGGGATGCTCTCCCCCATTTTGAGAGGTTGGAAATTTTGGATCAAAATTCACCCTCTCTCTTCTTGCTTTGTGCTTGATAGTTGATTTTCTCTACACCTTTGCACACTAACCCCTAACCAACTTTGACCACCTTGGAGCTAAGGTCCCTTGGAGCCTAATTTGAGCTTTTGGAAGGAGGTTTGAGCCTAAAAGAGTGGCTGTTTTGTGCTGAGCTTCAAGAGGTATGAGACTTACCTTGTAGGCTTCGTTTTAATCAATTGCTTTGCCATCTCCTAGTTTTCAACTGCAAAAAGCTCTGACTTTTGAGCCTTAACATGTTGGTTTGAAGTCATTTTGTGTTAAGGGGTGGTCCACCCTTCTTGTTGCTTATTTGTGTGAGTTTTTGCACCATCTTTTAGCATATTTAATTCAAACTTTTTGAGCCTTTAAACCACTGAAATTCAGAGTTATTTCAGTGGTGGAAAGCATGTTTTGAAGTCCAAAAATGGAGGGGTTGGCTTCCCCTCCTTGTGTCTCATTTGCATGCCTAGTTAGCATCACATGGTATCATGTTTTTGTGCCTTAACCTAGCTTAATTCAAGCATGTTTTAGGCTCTGATTTGGAATGATTTAGCTCTGTTTTGGACTGCTTTGGTCATATGAGCTTTGTTTTGCATAGTTGTAGTGCAATTATGCTTAAGGGTCTAGCTTGTGCTATGTTTTGGCCTCTTATTCTAGCCATTTTTAGCTTATTTCAAGCATGTTTTAGGACTTCTTTTAGGCTGTTTTAGGACTGTTTTGAAGTGTTTGTGCTTTTTGAGCTTTGTATTGCATGCTCTTAGTGTAATGG